CGAGATGGAGTCCTGGTCATCATCGAGTTTACTACCAGCGAGTTGCTCCAGTTGTCTGTCCACATTAATTCCGAGTGAGAGCAACACGTCGTTCCCAACGATAAATTCATCATCATCTTGCTCAATAATGAAAACAGTCACGGGTTCTCCAAGCTCCACAGGCCCACCAGCATTATGTAGACAGATTGTTAACATTACAGACTCAGGAGCTTCCACATCATGGGCACCGACAGCTTTTTCAATCACTGGTGTGCTCAACGGGACAGACTTCGCGTTTTCGTCAAGCCTCATATTGAAGTTGCTTCGACTCAGCAGACATCTGCCCGAGCCCGCGTCAGCACAGTACTACAGTTCACATACGTCGATCAGCATTATGGCGTTCGCCCCACCCAAACGTTTCTTAATTCGCTTCATTCTGCTCTAGTCCTGTCGAGAAGTATGAAACTTTTTCGGTAGTTCCTTCTTCTCCTCAGGGGACGCAGTTGGGCAATTCGACACACAGTGTGGGCCACTTCATTTCCAACAATCGTTTTTCGGTACATGGGACCGCTTCTTCTCCGAGTCTTGTTTAATTACAGATCTTGTCGTTCAATCGGCATCTCCACTACGACTGCCCTTAGGTTCTTTATGACCACACAGGCGACGGCGATGCTGGCCACTCAAACCAGTCTGATCCTGCTGTTTGGGCACCTTCTCAGACTCGGCGAACTGTTCCTCATAGCGAGAGCGTTTGCGACGACGAAATTCGATGTCCTGCTCCAACGGCTTTTCTAGGGTCAGATCATGAAGCTTGAACTGGTCACTACGAGCCACTGTCTCTTGGAAGCGGATAGCAGTTTTCACATCTTCTTTGGCTCCCGGGTCGTCTGTGACTCAATCAACAGCTTCAACTTATCCTTTTGGCCGTGCTGGCCCTCAAAACAGGCCACCAAGCCGTGTTCCTCGATCAACTGGTTACACAGCATCAAATACTGTAGTACACGCTCATTGACATCAGTCTCAGAAATGTTGAGGCGAAGCTTCTTGTTAAAGAGCTGATCGATGTTGGGAAGCGCGTCGTTCATAACACGTTCAACAATCACCTGGACTTCAGACATAATTCGGTCTTCAGTCACAGCGTCGGGCGAATTTCTAGTGTAAAGAGCCTCAACATTCTTTCGTTAACTGTACTCTTGATAGATTCCTTCAACCGCTCATAGCGTTCGTTGTCTTCATTGCTGCGGGCATTGACACTCTCTTCATACTCAGCACGAACTTTTTTCCACTTGATTAACGCAGAGTAGGACATGGACGATAATCGGGCCGCGACCATCGGAATGATCAAAGGTACATCCATGATGTTGATGTCTGCGGGTCTTGGAGCATCTTCTTCTGCGGTATTGCCGCGACGGTCCGGTTTCATCATCGTGTGAACGCGGATTCACTAAAGGCGACTTTGTAGTACGTCCACGAGACGTCGACGGTAGTCACAGTTAGGGATGCTGGCACTTCCATACGTTTAGCCGATTGTATTGCTTGCTCAGTGGAAAGCAAAGGTAAACTGACTAGACTACT